ATCGGTTCGGTTATCGCTCATTTGCTCCACTCATTATTATTGTTCTTTGATACGTTTTCCGCTGCCCGGTTTTCTCGGCCTTTGAGACCCTTCCGTCGCGTTCGACGCCATGCTCGGAGCGGGTCTCGTCCGGTCCGCGCGTCTCCGACTTCGTTCCGTCCGAAAGCGTCTGCAAGCGCGTTCCCTCTGGTCGGTCGTCGATCGTCAATACTGTTTTTACGTTGCTGATAAATCGCGTTTATCCGTATCGACGCGTTTTTGTTTTCGGACGGCCCACGACCTTATCGTCCGATAGCGTACGAAATATGTTATCTTATTGTATTATATATAATAACTATATATAAAAGAAACGTGTACGCTTGTTACGTACGTCAGATTATAGAGTTTATAGGCCAAAAATGTACGCAAAATCGTTCGTCCTTCAGTCGTTGTACGCTTAATCGCTAACCTTTGGGGATATCTGATATGTGCTAGATGATAAACTCGGTAACGTCAGTCTGAGACGTATACATTAAAATGTAAATGAATACTCGGAAACGTTCTAAACGACAATAAATATGCATTTACGGTTTCGTGACACGCGAAACCTGTACCCACGGGCCAAACGACGTTGTACGTATTCGTCGCATCTCTAAACGGTTATGCTCGATTGGTTACGGTTTTCAACTCCGGTAGTCGATAGCAATACGTAACTGAACGAAGTATACCGTAAACGACGGCCGTTGGAGAAACGATAACGACGGGGAGATATGGGACACAACGACTGGAAGAAAAAAAACGGAATTTTTCGATTGGCCGGGACACTAAAGTGCCCGCGTTCTGGCGGATTTTTCGGGAAGCTGGTTTTGGTTTTATATTATAAGATAACCATTAACTAGTGTCTCACTCTCAGGCAGTCAGGCCTCAGCAACTCAAATTTCTAATGTTGAACTGTACTGTAGTTACTAGTTTACTATTTTTCACAATCCATACAAACAAAGTTTTAAAGATTTGCCCAAAATTAAAATAACGTTATTTAATTTTGTACAGTCAATTCCCTGATATCGAGACAAAATATTGTTTGAGTGAGTAAAATCAAATGATTGTATTTTCTTAAATTGTATACATTGAACATAAATTAATTAAAGAAAATGTACTATATACATACCAATCATATGTTTTTATTTTATTTTGAAGTATATTATATTTTTTCTGTGTTCATTTTTGAACTATATAGTTTTTAAAAGCTGTTTTTTTTTCACTGTATCTTAATCACTCAATGTTTCTATTCATTGTTAAGTTCACTAAGTTTACATACATATATTTTAATATTTTTATTTGTGTTGTTGCTTTTATAGAACAGCAATTTGAATTGAAATCATCCTACTACAATTGATGACATTTTACTTCTTATTCACTACTTCTCAACTATGGCTTACAATGATAAGCATAGACAATTTTTACAATACTTCATGCACGAAAGAATGGTTTCTGAAAATGATGCTAAAAGTGTAAGTAACATTCTTTTTCCTGAAAAAGACATTGATATCATTATTGAACTAATAAACACTAAAATTTCTCCACTTGAATTCAAAATCAACAAAGTGATATGTGAACAAGATGGCATTGTAACATATGTATTCATTGCTACGTTTCTTGATGATTTCAATACTAAACCAGATACAAGCAAAATAATCTTTGGTAGACTTGTTAATCATATTATAGCTTTAGGCGGATCAGTAACTTACGATGAAGTCATGACATTTTCTACGAATATAACTGATTCTCAGCTGGATAACTTTTTTGCATCAAAATATTTGATTGCTGACAAAGACAAAAACATTTTTTTGTCACCATTGACCATTAGCGAAATGGAAGGATATTTAACTGAAAAATTTCCAGACAAAAGATGTATGGGTTGTTTAAGTATTGTTGGACATGGTATTAAATGTCCATCATGTGAAAATTTTGCACATGGGCATTGCTTGACTACATATTTTAATAATGTGGGTAGCAAGAAGTGTCCCAAATGTTCTAAAACATTAAATGTTAGTTGGAATTCGATAACAGCTGTCAATAAGTTATAATAAATATATTTCATATTTCATTATTATTATTAAACTTATTCTATGTGTATTACTATAACATTTAATATTTTTTTATGTAATATGGAATGTACTTAACATTTTAAACACAAATGCGTTGTACATTATATTTTGTATAATATTTTATCTTAAATTATATTGATATTGTGTTAAATTGGTTGTTATTTTCAAAACAAATAAATTGTAAACTGTAAATTTAAAATTTAATGTAACAAGTTAGTACCTAATATCTATAAATATTTAAAAAAAGTTGTAAATTAAAAATATGTCTTTATTTAAGTGATATTTCAATCATTTAAATTTATAATTACTTAAAAAAATTTACTTTGACAGGATTTATAAGCGATATATTAAATATATGATTATTTAAAACTAATATAAACATATTATATTTTATTTTATTATTACTTACTTATTCACAAATGATAAAAATATATTTTTTATATTAAGTATAACAGTGTATTGTTAAATTTAATTTGCAAAATTTGTAATGTGAATGGTTTAAAATACATAGTATACTATTACAATGTTGAGAACAAAAATAAAAATAATTTTTTTTACAACTATTATGAAATTTTTATTTTAAGTTAATTGTTCATACTTATCTAGTTTATTGTATTGTATGAGAGTGTTTATACATATATATTACAGGATTAAAAATTAAAAAATGTAAAAAATATTAACCTTAATACTGACTCCCCTATTGTTTTTTATATACCAAATTATATAATTTCAAAAAAAAGGTTGTCCATTAAAGTATAAATATCCCCTTAATATCTAAAAATTATTTTCTTCTGCAACATACTGTTTTCAAGAATTCCGAGGAAAATATGTTAAAATAGACTGTCTAGTTCACAAATTATTGATAAACATTGACATTAATTATGGATAGGTAAAGAATAATAAAACTTGCAATGACTATGACAGTTATTTTGGGATAGAATGCTTTTAGGAAGTATTAGTATATTGTATTTTTTTTATGACTAGAAAGAAAACAGCTGATAACAATTAAATAGTTATTAAAGAAGAGACAATATAGAGGAAATATGATATTTCAGAATTTGTAGCATTAAAGGTAGGGCTGTAGCATGTAAGTATTTATTTTACCTAGTGAAACAATTAATAAATTGGTTAAAATAAATATCAAATACATTTTGTTTATTTATAAATCAATAGGAACAGATTATTTTATTACAAGCTAAGCATGTTAAACATATTACATAGTTGCCTACTAATTTTTAATTAAATTATTAACAATAAAGTATGTGCCAATCACTTATAATAAAATTGTATGTACATTTGTATATAACTAGGTAGGTATGTAATATCTTTTTACATTATGGAAAATTATTATGGTGATAAATGATCAATTGTTGATATTCTTACATAAGTACATATTTATAGTAATAGTAATTTGAGTTTTTCTTTAAGACAAACAAAATGCTTAAATCTTACTTATTGCGTGGCGAGGTTGGTGGTGGTATTAATGCATTTTCTTCGTAAATCATTGCAATTCTGCAAAAATCAATTCTTCTTCTTTTATTTTTCTAAAATAAAACCAATTTAAAGTATAAATTAAAAATATTTTTATTAATCTATAAACGTGTGAAATGCAAAGAGTCTACTGTAGGAGTAGGACTTCTCATTAGTTAGATCCAGATGTGTAGTTGGCGACTATCAAGGGTTTTATAAAATTCCCTGCAAACATTAATAATTACTCTTCTCCCAGTACCTGTTATTAGATTTGTTATTCTCCACAGAAAACTTATGAACTTAAGCATTTCATAAAAGACAAGGAATTTTTATTTGCAAAAATAATGAGGGTTTAATTACACTTTTTTTAAGATCTAAACTTTTTTAATTTTATTATTTTTTATAACCACTATTAATCGACTAAATTTGCATACATTTTTATTTAATTTAAAAAGTACATACTCCAATAGAAATGTAACATTCATCTCCATCGCTGCTTGACGATGTTCCGTCTTCCAAATATGATGTTTTAGAAGAACCATTTACATCTATTTCCACGCATAATTGTTTCAACTGTTCGCTCACTAACAAAGGCTACAAAAATAATAATTAAATTTTAAATGTAAATTAAAAATTCTATGAGCAATAGAAAAAATCATAAACATTTATACAAAGGTTTAATGTATACAGTATTTTATTTACTTGAGTGAATGTATTTAGCGTGTTAATATCTTTACGCAACACTTCATTTTTGTCTCCATAGTCCATTTGGTATCGATAGACTAGATCTGGTGTTGTTACGATGTCTTCCATCCAGAATGGTTGCTAAATATTTATATTTAATCATGTTAATTCTTTACTGAATATGTTTGATGTAAAGCACTTATATTCTATTTTACCTTTTTAATTAACTGATGAGAGCAATTTGTTTTTTCAAATACATTCAGCAATGGAAAATCCTGAAATTATTTTAATTTGTAATTAATTTATAATTCCTAGAACAATTTTATGCCATTATATTATTCTGTTTATTGAAATGTTTACAGCTTATAATTATTTAATAATTAATTAATGTTATTTGCTACGTATAGCACTTAATATATAATTATCAATAAAACAATTTTTAGGTAACTTTTACCTGTTATAAGTTATCCGATGATGTTTTATTTTTAATTAATAGTTTATACATCAAGAAAGTCCATCTTGACACGCCTTTATTCTATTTCCAGAAAATATATTTCAAGGAATAGGGAATATTATCTATTGAACAATTTGTTTTGTTCATTTATTGTAATTTAAAAACAATTATCAGCGACAATTAATTTAAATATCTATCATGTTAACGGAAATATCATTAAATCGATGACAACTGTGTATGTATTTTTGATCAATTTAAAGTTCTAAAAATAGTATGGTAACACTATTGGTAGTGCTTTTTTACGATTAGTTTTAATTTTATTCTACCAAATATTATTCTGAAATGAAGGAAGCCAAACACTACTTCTAGCCGTGTCTTGAATCTTGATCTTCAGTATCTTGTTTATTCTAACGCGATTTCGTTGTACGGCGTGTAAGTTATGCAATATAGGTGCATTCCAGTGTACTTTTAAATTATTTAATTTATTATTATAATGTACCTACTATTATTTTTAGATAATTTTTTTTTTTTTTTGTTTATATAATGTCTATATCTTAGTTTTTAATTCATAAAATTAATAAGTGGAATTATCATATATATATATATATTTTTAAGTAGACAGTATAGAGTGTAGTGAAATTGTTATTAAACATATAGAAATAGCATTCCTATTTTCAGTAAACATAATATTTTTAATCTACCTAACGCAGAAAGAAAGGATGGTTCTCGCTCATACAAAAGCTTTTGAATGATTAAGAAACTAACATTTAAACAATAGGAAAAGGAATGCAATGCTGTTACGGTTAAAAATGGTTTAGTTTATATTGGCTAACAGATGTCATATTCATTAAGTTAGGTTAAATGAACTAATAAATATAAACAGACTACCTATTCAATAACATGTGTATCGTCCGATATATCCATTTGCTTAGAATTTAATATTTTTGATGGTCCCTGACAAAACAATTCTTTTTTTATTTAAAAACGATTAAAAAATATACTATCTGCTTAAGTATAACTAATAAATACACTATGTAATTTTTTTTTTAGACCTTTAGGAGTTTCAACAGCAATAGTTATTAGCCTGTAGTTGTTTTTTATTTTAAATTTCGGAAAGGTACTGTTTTTGAAACATGTGTATTTATTACTAAAAATCCGAATGGTTACCTATCCGGGAGCTAGCGACACTAGCCGACGCTTGACCTTAGACACATCATCGACTGAGGTCAAACACCATGCTACTCAATAAAATTATATAAATATAATCAAACTATAAATTATGAACACAAAATTAAATTACTTTATCAAGTTTTATAATCAGTATACAAGTGGATCTCAACCTTTTTATGTTCACGGAGCATTATTTCTTAAAACTATACAGTTTGACGGAACACTATAGTAATAAAATAATAAATGGCAAACAAAAAAAAAAAAGGCATTTTTATTTTAATTATTATTATTTTTTATTAATATATTATTTAATTAAAAATTAATAATTAATAACCCTATACACATATACCACGGTCGCGGTACACATACAACCAGTTCGAGGCACACTTGTGTGCCGCGGAACACCGGTTGAGAAACACTGCAGTGCAGTATACTATAAATAATATAATTATGTAATTATTTTTTATTATTTAAACCAATGGGTATATTTAAAAAATAATATAACAGAAGAAACACGATATAATAAAAACATATTCTGGACTGGAATTTTATTTTATTTTTTATAAATGATACTTAATATCCATAATAGTTATAAATTATACATAATGTACTAGATTATTATATTAAATATTCCCCTTATTTAACTAGATGAAAGTTATTTTTTAATGTTATTACTCAACCATTAAAATATTAAAATTATAATTTAATTAATTATTATGTATTAACATTCATTTTTTATGTTTTACTGCAATTATTACATTCACTGAAACATTATAATGTCTATACATTTTTAAATAGTACAGATTTTCTTTTTTTTAATGGATGACTAATAGTATTTTAATATTGATAAAAATTTTATTTATTCTTAGTAAGAATTTTTTTTTTTTAATCTTAATATTCTTTTATGTTATTCAGTTCTTTTATTTTATTGATGATTTTACATTTTGAAAAATAATGTACATATTTGTAATAATTATAACAATGTCGTTTATAAAATATACCAAATTTTTTTTCTTTTTAGAATAGACGATGAAATCCAAAGTATTGAATGATGGAATTAAATTTAGCAATTATATCTAGTTTGTACACTATTAAAATTTAGATTTTTATTAATAGTTTAAAGAAAAACTTCAGTGTAGTAAAATTAAAAAAAAAAAAATAATAATAAGAATTTATGGTAAACGAAGTAATTTTGCTCTATTTATAAAGTATGAACTCAAAATAATTTTTTTAATGTGATGATTATAATTACTGTTTTACAATCGCATTAAGTGGCCCATTTAATTATTGTAAAGCACTAATATATTTAAGTGGATAAATGGAAATTTGTACATACTTCTTTTTCACTACTATCGGTTTTATCTCGTAAACTTGATGAGTAATAACTACTTTCCTCGTACATCCATCCACTACTAAAAATAAAATATCGCAATTGAAGATTCGTTAAATATAATTGTATTATTAGTATAAAATATATAATATCAAAGTAGAACTAACCTTGATCTTAAGCTCTCGGTTTCTTTTTTACAATCGGAATCAGAACTCGTTATAATTTCTTCTTGGTTTACTTGAGTTGCTTTTGTTTTCTTTCGAATATTCTACGTATTTAAAAAAATAATATTACTAAGCAATCTTGTTGATGATGAAATAATATTAAATTCTTGTTTGGAATATAATTTAAATTATAATATTCAATAATTTTATTAAATCTATTTTAAATTAGTAGGTACCTACTACCTACATAATTTAAAATAATAACTTTGCTCTATTAAAATAATTATAAAAATTTCTTTCGGAGAGATATTTTACATTCGATATCATATTAAATTATATTAATAATTATTTGTAGTTAAGTTTAAAAATAATATCAAATTATTTTAAATTTATATCATAGTAAACTTTTAATACTTTATTTCTTTATAATATTTATATATTTCAATTTTATATTTCGAAGCAGTACTTTTAGGTTTATGAACATTTCAATTATCGACATAAAGTTATTGAATAATGTAGGATTAGTACACATATTAAATTGCACAACTTTATTTTATTTTTTATAACTAGGAATTTTAATTTGTGAATTTTTCATTCTAAAAAATTAATTTTTTTATTTATAAGAACCAAGAACTAAAAATGTCATAAACACTGTATACAAATTATTGTAAAAAGTAAAACGTAAAATCAAATTACCTGATTATTTGTTTTCGATATAATTGGAGCTTCAGTTTTATTTTCAATATTCTGATATAAATGTTCTATATGCAACTGAAAAATTTAATTTTTATTTGCATAGTTAATATATTTACTATATAGCTATAAATTTAATGTTCTATTAAAAAGTATATGTGGATGATGATTGATGGGTATTGGGTATACTGTACACTGTATAACATTACCTTGCCCCATAGCTACCCTTTATTTACGAATTTTCGTCTATAACTATAGATAATCTAACCAAACAGCTATTAGTCAATGTTAAATATCAAAATTAAAAACAATAATAGAAAGAAAGAACATTATTTTGAATCTCATATTGTTTTTTTTTTTTTTACAATTTATTTTCAAACTAGTTATGAGTATTTTAAAACTAAAATATAAAAAAAAACTTACAGCTAGATCTAAGTAATATTCTTACCTTTAAGTTTGATAATAATGTGGTGGGTGTGATAGATCTAATTAAATTATTAAATAAAACAGGGTGAAATATATTGTTCTGATAGTTATTTATTATGCGTTACTAAATAATGCTAGGACCTAAGATAAAATACTTCATAAAATATATTTATAAGCATGGTATTATATTTCATAAAAAGTAATTTAAAATTACAATATGCAAAAATTGGTTTTTTTATTTTTAAATTTTACCCTCTCCTCTCTTCTAACACCACTTGCGAATAGGCATAAGGACGCAGTTGAAACTCATTGTATGTATTCCCAAATAATAAATATCGTTTTCAAATTGTAAAAGTCAAAAGAAACTATTTATAAAAGACATTTATAAATTATAACATTATAATCATTATATATAAACTCGAAATATATATGAGGTATAGCCTTATATTTTAGAATTGTGCACATAACTATAGCAATAATAATATCTTCAAACGTAACAATTTATTTATTTTTTTTTCAATACACCACATGACTATAATACTCATTACTAATTAAATTCAAACCTGTTGTTGGACATGTAAAAGTTGAGAATTTTCAGTTATGTGGCTCGGCATACTTAATGATTGTAACTTGTCAGATACTGTTTCTGGAACAATATTATGTTTACGACTTATTCATCATCTGCTCTGCTCAGAATTTTATTAATCATTATAAATCATAAATATTATTTTATATTATATAAATCATATATCATTAGAAAATAGCTTATAACATTTTAAATATCACATTAGATTTGTTTTTAGTAATTATAGCTTTATTATTATTTTAAAATATTCAAATGGTTTAACCAAGGATAAAAATATGTAGTGTCTACATAACTCTCCTTCTAAATTAAATTTAAATATATTGATTATATATTTAAGTAATTAATGACCTAATTGTATTTATTTCCATCTAGTTTATTGTACCTTGAATATTTCCAAACTTTTCGTCCATTATATCGCATGTAGGTTGAACAGGCATCACATTATTACTAAGTGGTACATTATAAATAAGTGGTTGGCATGGTACAATTAGTGCTTGAGTTGGTAACACTAATTTTTGGCATGGGCTTGGTAAAATCTGTCTTGGTGGTAAATCGGTCCTAAATTTTAAAATTTTTAATTTAAATATTTTTAATGGTGTTAATATCATAATTAGTGGAATATAATAATACTGACATTGTTTGTGAATCTCGTGTAATTTGACAAAAAGACCAAACTTGCGTTGATCGAGCGACAGTAGGAGTAGTTTCAATATTTTGACACTCTAGTGGTTGTGTTACATTAGTATGACCACTGATGTTTGAAAGACATTTTCTTTTCGAAAGCTTGCATGATTTATTCACAGTTGAACTATTACGTTTTATGCCGTGAACTATATCAGACTAAACAAAATATATAATTTCATTAATCAGGCAAATTCTTTTTTTCTTGTATTTTATTTACAATGTATTTTGCTTGATTTGACAAATTTTGTTTTTTGGACGATTTGTTTTTTTTATGTTGTTTCACGAGATCACATTCCATTTTTTCATTATGACTAAAATTAAAATAGTATACATTACTTCATTCCTAAATTAAAATGTATGAGTGATTTGAGTTTATCACTTAGGTACTACAGTGGAACCTCGCTATCTCGAACTCCGGTATCTCGAAGTTTCTGTATGTCGAATATTTTTTTCAGTCCCGATCATTCAGTATTGGACTTACGCGTTAAGTTATTTTGGTATATCGAATTTTCATATGTCGAATTTTTCTACAAGTCGTAGTCATTATCTGGTATCTATCGCCTATTATGATTCATTAACTCAAATTTATGAAAGATTAGATAAAGTATAAAATTCCCAGACTATAAAATATTAAATAAATGAGAAAATTCTACTTCCATAGAAAATAATGTATACTTACCCAAATGACGAATACTAATAATATGTATACAATATATAAATACATTCTATATTATAAATACATATTTTTCTCAATAATTAAGTACTTTTATTTCAAATTTTATTATATTTTAAATTCTCTTGGTAACTCGAAGTTTCGGTATGTCGAATTTTTTTTCAGTCCCTTATGACTTCGAGAAACCGAGGTTTCACTGTATATAATTTTAAACCACAACTTCGTTTTAATTTAAAATAACTTAATGTCAGTAGTATAAACATAAAATATATATTGTATTGATTTATTATATTACTATATTTCAGTTTACAATTAAACTTACCGTAAAAGCATTTTTTGAGTAAGTTGACAATTTTTACTTGCATTTTGTTCTGAATCATAATTAGGTGAATTTTGAGTTATAATCATATTTGAAACTGGTGCTCTACTTTGAAACGATGATATTGTATCTGGTTGTACTTTATTTGTATCTCTAAACATAGTATGAATTATCATAGTATAATAGTTAGGTATACATCTTTGATATATTTGGTAACTAACGTTTCATAAGAAGTAACTTCTCTCGCAGCAAATTTTTTAGAAGAACTCGATTCATCCGATGAATTTGTTTTTAAATTACTATTGAAAAATCTAAACAAAATACCCAGTAAAATGTTTAAATGGTTTCAATATTAAAATAAAATATGCGCGCATTAAAACTTTTGTGCAACTAAAGAATAAGATAATTTTGGGTAAATATTTATAATCCTAGTTAAAAAATAATGAAATACGTAGATTTTAATTTTTACTAATACTTATAAATAAATGCTGAAAGTTTTTTTTTACAGGAAAAATATAATTTTTAGTTAAATTAATAACGTTTTAAATTACTATTTAAATTAAAAGGAATTTTTTTTTTATAGATTTTGACAATTTATAGAATTTCTGTTTCGACCACTTGTCCATTAGCATATGTTGTAGGGGTTATGAACTGTGGATAGGGGTAAAGTTAGTACAGTTGGTTGTTGTTTTTTTTTTACAATTGTTGTTGTGGAAAGATTTTTAACCACTATGAACCCGGGTGGTCACCTATCCGGGAACTAGTACTTGTGACCGTTACTTACTCCCAGTCGCATTCCGCGATTGGTAGCAGCCAACGCGCTACGCCAAGTCACTTAAAAGGAATTATTGGTAAATATATATTATGGTAATTACTGTGTATCAAAAACGGAAATAATCATCGCACAAAAATATAAAATGCATAATAATGTATAATATATTAATATGAAATATATACCTTTGTATGTTATCATTATAATTAAGTTCAGTATAACTTAATAGTGTATCGGAACTAGATTTACTTTCATAGTTGGTATTTTGAAATAAATGTGGAGAGTCGTTGTCCTAATAATGCATTAAAACATAATTAGTATAATATAGCATTATGACATTGCACAATATTATTAAACTTACAGAATAATTCCCAGACATTTCTGGTGGAACTTCGACATTAAGAGGAACTTGAACTGATGGATGTACAAAGCAATTCATACACGGCGTAAAGTTTTTATAGTCCATCGATATTTGCTGCTCTGAATTGGTATCCGTTGTTTGTTTTGTTTCATATGAAACTTCAGCAACTTCTTTACTCTATAATTTAATAATTCATTATAAAATTACATTTTATATACGTGTAATATTTTACACAAAAGTGGACCTAGAATTTTATATTTGAGCGTATCTAGTCTTTTTTTTTGTAGTAATTGTTTTATAACATAAAGTGGAGGCTATAAACAAATTCACTATCTTTATGCATTTTTTTAGCCAGGGAGCTCACTTTTTTTCATTAGTGAATGGTGATACATTTTAGTATTATGAATTATACTTATTATTAGTTATTATAATTTACAATTTAAACATTAGATGCGGTAATCTTAAAGAGTATTGTGAGTTTATGCATTTAATAAATATTATAGGTTCACTTTGTTGAAAGTTGTATTTGTCAGGGGGTACGAAATAAATTTCAGGGGGAAAGCTAATGCCTAGAGTATACCTGAATTCAATACCGATATCTAATATAATGTATACAATATATTTATTTATGCATTTGTTTATGTATAATGATCTACTTTTACAAATTAATTATTAATTATGTTAAAGTGTGATACAAAATATAAATTTTTTTAGTAATAGACAGTTTTAGTTACCTCATTTGTCATTTTTTCAAAGTCCTTCGGCGTTTCATTAAATTTATAATCATCCTTTGTTTCTATATCTTTTGTAATAGTATTATGAGCCAAAGTTGTGACGTTAGGATTAATTGGACCCTTAAACCATAATTTATTCATCATTATAATTCAGTACCTATATATAATAATTATTTTAAAATATTACCTGAATAACTTTGTGTTTACCAATTACAAACTCTACTTGATCAGACCAAGGATTTACGAAATTTGACCATTCTGTTTGTACGACTGCAAAATCACCATTTTGACACTTAAACCGGTAAGGATTTCCTTTTAATGAAATATTTTTAGATTTAATCACTAAAACAAAAAAATATAAAAATATCTTGTATTATATGCAATATTTTTTAACAAAAATCGAAAATTTACAATTTGTGTGAATTTCTTTGATAGTTGTTAGATCTTCTTTACAGTAATAGTCGAAAATTGATCTACCAATAATATTTTGTGGTAGATATCCAAAATATGAGGTAATGAATTTATCAACATAACACCATTCAAATAATGCATTATGTTTAGTAATAAATTGAATGGGATTTTCTATTTTCTCTTCAGAACCTAAATATAAAATTTAAATAAATATTTTCCACTTGTTTGATTACATATGTTAGTATATAATTAATATAACAAATATCGTTTACATACACGTGTATGCTGAATGAATTATTTGTGCTTTAACAACTAGAACTAACTGAGGTCGTGCTATTTGTGTCAAATTTGGAGTCGTCGATACATATGATAAATCTTTGAATGTTATTGTAAGCTTACACACTTGATAATTATTTTTGTTTTCAGATTTTGAATAACCCATATTGCAGTAAAATCCATCATTAGTTTTGGGTCTCAAATAAGTCACCGTAGATACACCATCTAAATATTTATTTTTATAGTTTATTTATGTATTATTCCATACATACCTGTATATTAATAATTGTACAGTCTATAAACATGAGTATATTTTTATCATAAAAAAAAATAAAAAAATGTTTTTTATCGATATTTTAACATAACGTTAAATGTTAATTATTAATTATAATGTTGTAAATACGAGTATATGCAATATTCTCGTATATTGCAATATTGATTAATGCGAGATCACTTTTATTGAATTGCATAAAAACGTTTTGACTTCATGTAATTGATATTACATATAATTGTTATTATATAAAAAGACATAGTATAAATTAGCCAATTTAGGTATTTAGATATATTCAACGACTCTTCATATAAATTTCAGTTGATCTCAATTATCTAGCGATGATGTGAACTAAACTAATAATGAAGGCATGGGCACCCATTGATTAAATTTTAGGGGAGGGGGGAAAATATGTCAAAAATAAGTCTCAAAATTTAAGTTAAATAAACGTTTAATCTGTGATTAATCTTGAGTATACTTAGCAAGTCGTCAATACGACTATATATTATTTAAAATTCCTATAGTGATAAAGAAAAAAATAATTTGTATACTTTTTAAGTAATTAGATATTATCTATAATAGTTATACTTATTATAAAATCACATTATTTTTCCATGAGGGCTAATACCTTGTTTTGCCCCCCCCCCTCAATGGGCGCCAATAAATATAGGTATATTGCATATAACATACAATAGGCGGATTTATATGATGCATTTATACCTCTAGAGTCTAGACTACGAAATAAAGAGTACACTTTATAATAGAAAGTTAAAATCATAATCAATATACCTAACAATAATTGTACATTTAATACTATATTGCAACGAATTAAAAATAGATACTAAACTTACATTTGTTGACACAATTTTTTTAGATTAAATTAATATTAAATCAACACATTGTATTGATAATTGGCTACAGTTTAGGTACAATAGGTTACTCCGCGCAGGCTCTGTAAGTATATAATATCTAGGTAATAAATATTAAAATACACATGTCACAATATTTATATGTAATGATTTCTGTAAATGCAAGCGTCAGTATACACTATACACTAGTTATGAAGAATCTTATATTACATTCTCAAAACTTAAATAAAATGAAAAGTTTTCATGAATTTCTAACTACACCTTTTTTTCACAATTTTAACAAATTTCATAATAACTTTATATGAATATAAAAATAAACTGTAACTTTGTATCTTTAATGTTTTAATATAAATATAAGACAATTTAATTTAAATTTTCAAAAATATTGACCCAGCAAATAATTTTTTTTATCGAAATTTATAGAAAAAAAAGTTTAAAATTTGTCATTCCTAATAATAGTTCAAAAAGAAATCAACATTTTTGAAAATTCAATCATACATTTTAATTGATAATATAAATATTTGGTGAAAATTTCAACTTTTTTATATCGGTATGCATATCTAACAAATGTATTTATTTTTTTATGTTTTTTGTATATAACAAAATATCTATAATTGTTTGAGAGGAATAATTATTTTACAAGTTAATATTTAATGCCATAAAATTTTAAATTTTAAATGTTCATAAAAAACAAATTTGGCTTTCTGTTAGAATTTTTTTCATGTTTAAGTTAAAAGTTTTACAAAAAACCTTTTACTAAATTTTTAAATTTCAGGTATATAAAAAAATTTGTACAATTTTGATATTTTTATGAATTTTATTAAAATTCTAAATTTTAACGTTTTTAAACAAAATTGAACCTATGTAGGTATATTTTTTTATAATTTTTCAAGTAAACGAACAACTAATGTTGAATTTTTTATTAGATTTTTAAAAACTAATACCCGGTGAATAAGTTTTTATCAGCAACTACAGAAAAAAATCTAAAAAAATAATAAAAATGTATCATACTAATAAATATATTAGTAAATTTCAACACATTTTGAGCATTTTATCATTAATAGAAAATGATAATTTAAATATTAGATAAAAAAAATTCAAGTATCTACGGATATTCATTTACATGTCTCATCAAAAATCAAAAGTGATTTTTTCGAAAATTTGATTTGTTTAAAAATTCATACTTATCATTAACTTTTTTTTTCTCTTTTCCCAATTTAAAAAATAGATACTATTTTTATCTAATTTCTACTAAAAACCTCTCTTAAAGTTGAAAATTAAAACATTTTTACTGGCGCAAAATGTGATGACAGAGAGTAAACACGTATTATTGTAAAACCAATATATTTATCACTCCGCTCAGAATTAAAATGATGCTGAATTTCTACCACATATTTGAGCAACAAATAATTCAATTTTAATTTATGAGGTAACTATCTTTTATACTTTTATTGGCTTTTAAGTAACTATAAATATTATACGCTGTATAATAACCCGAATTATAATATTCAATACACCTACGACCTTACACAATCTATACACTTATTTGATATTTATTACGCTGATAATAACTAAAAACAATAAAATAATAAATAAAAACTTTAAAAAAATATTTTTAGTGTCACTTTATGATATTATTTTGAATCTTTTAATAAAATGTATTTATTCAAACATACCTCCTCTAGAAATTGTGCAAGGATCTACAAGAATAGACGTCATATGATTGACAAATGTTATCCGATCATTAGGATGAATAAAATCAATAAATGCACGATCTTTCCACATTTCTTTTGAGTATCCCATGCTTTTGTGAACACTATTTGATATATTAATAATTAGACCATTGGTCATTGACACAACAACACCAAATGAATTATTTTTAACATCATTTGATTCAATTATTTCCTTGAATTGTAACTCATAGTCATTTAATACCTTTAGAACAGTATCTGTAAAAATTTAAATGATTTTTTTAATCTTAATAAATATTAAAAATCAAGAGCTGATTCGTTACTATTAGGGTTTATATTTAATAATATTTTCAATTTAAATATCCAATACCTATATTAATAAGTATAATATTACAAGCATGCACATTGCACATGTTTAAAAAATGCGATTAAAGTAATTTATTTAAATTATTTTTATAAGTTATTGTATTTAATAGGTATCAAGTATTGTTGAATATTATAAGTTAATTTAACATTTTAATGATAAAATAATAAAAGTCTAATAGTTTACCTATAATAGTAAATGATTTTTTAGGATTTGAAGTTGAGTTTGTTTGATTTAAATCCCGATATGATTGGCACAAGTAAGATAATTGCAAAAACGTATTTTCTTGATTATGGTCTAATTTAATTTCATTATTTAAATTTTTTAAATCATCAGATTCCATTTTTGATATAGAAGCTAAATGTAAAAATGCAATAAAAATTCTTTATTGCAATAAATATTTTTTTTAAATAATAATTTAGTTCATACCATCGACGTTAAATAATTGATTCGTTTGTGGCTTAAATGCTGTTGAATTTTTCTGTTTAGATTTTGAACAAGTATTACTTGGGTTTTGATTATTTATAGTGTTCAAACCTCTTAATATAGTTTGATTTGATTGTTCGGCGGGTTTAGAGTTCAAAGTTGACATTTCTCTAAACATAAAAAAAATGCTTAACATTAAAATATTCTAAATATTGTTCTTTTTCTAAATATTTTATAAAATTGTTAGATGAATTATAATAAATTATAATTTACAAATATTTTATTATATTTCAATCTAGTGTATTTCAAACTTGATATTTTAAGTTAAGAATAATAATTAAGTTAACTGAGTCTGTTTCATATATACATTTGTTTAATGCGTACAAAATATAATATGATTTGGAAATACATTTTTTTCCAATATTAAATTGTCAATTAAATAATAGTAGCTAATAATTAAATTATTATAAAAATAATGTTATGATTATTTACCCGTCTTTTTCAGTTGTTAATATAGTCGAATTCTGTTCTTCGAAACTTGATTCCGTGGATAGTCCTGGGTGACGTGATTTATCACTGCCACAATTAAATGCAATTTTAATCCAATTATAATATCATACGATATAAAGTAGTTAAGTATATTGTATATTGTAATTTTGTAAATATAAAAATTTAAAAATACTAGAATAGACGAAATTAACACTAAATTAGAGTATGTACAGTACAATAAAAATTGAAAATTAAAAACATTAAATATATACTATTTACAATTTATATAGCACGCTCACCATCATTTTCCCTTTAATAACCCATTAATTCAAATTTTGGTGATAAATATTAGTAAGCATAATCATAATAATTATTGTAACCAACTTGTTAAGGATCATATTATAATTAAATATATAAATTTACCTGGATTTGGATTGGGATGATGTACAAGAGTAGCCCGAGTCATAATCAACTCGAGTTTGATTTACTGAAAATGATGGACTTTCTTCCATTTTTGCTCAGTCCTGTAACAGATATTTGTAAAACATGTTTTTAGTATACCTTTTATACAAAATTGTGACAACAACTAAAGAAAATCGTAACCTTGTTTTTATATGTATACCTAAACAGGTACTAGATGTGGATGATTATTTTAATATTAGCCACTCATTATCTCATTCAGTATTATTTTCACTATGCTTTAAATATTTCTTGTTTTGAATTAAAAATAGTGAAAATGTATAAACTGTATTTTAATTATAATATATTTGAATTTATAATAGTGTATGTTGTGTGTGTGTGTATGTTTTTTTTTTTTTATTGGAAGAAATTTTATAGTATAGGAAATACTTCAACCTTTAACTTTGAATGTGATTCCTGGTAGAAAATTTAATTTTATTATTAATTTGGTTAAACTTTTGATTTTCTAAAAAGTTACTTTTAAAATTAAAAAATTATCAAAAAAATAGAACATACAGGCAAAACTAGTTTTTGTACAAAATCAATTTTTAATTTTAATTTATTAATTTATTTTTTTTTTTTTATATCAGAATATTAGTTGGCCTCATTAAGATAAACTCTATGTGAAAGTTTTGGGATATATTACCTTACAAATATTCTTTAATAATACAATTCTAAATATAAATTAACAGATTATAATACAATTAATTAATAATAATTTTTATTACAGGTATTGAAACATGATAGTATATAAACGACAACTATTATACTATTGTTCTCATTTTCGATCTTTTTTCTTAAAATATTTCTTTTCTGTAAAAAAATTTATTAGAAAAACCAAGATATCCTCATAAATAATATTTATAGGGATTTAAGAATAAAATAAATTTATAGTCAACATTTTTTTATAAACCGTTAAAATGAAAATTGTAACAAAATTGTGAAAATTGTTAGAAAACTTTTTATAGTTTGAAACTTTATTTAAACTTAATTAACATTTTTTAATTTTAATAGGGAAGACTTGAGAATTTAATATTACTTGTAAATTGTACCTATAACAATCTACAGATCTCAAAAATATATATGTACAATTTATTCTGTATTAATTTCAAACTTTGACGAAATTAAATATTTTTTAAAATAAAAATAAAAATTGTTTTTTGTCTAAAAAAAAACTTATTTGTACTATAATCTATATAATTTTCATAATATCTAAACTAATTTTAATCTATACACGCCATTCTACTCATTATGTTAGTATTGACTTGTAAGTTAATAATTAATAATACTTATTGTTTATTACAATTATTATTATATAATATATACAAATTTTAATTGACAAAAATAGTTTAATGTTCCATATAACTAAAATAGAAAAATAAATATACAAAAAAATATTATTAAAAATATAGGTTGAATAATTGTCTCTACTCAAAATCATTGTTTATATGGAATAATTTATCATTTTATTTAAATTTAACACGTCTATTTCAGTAAAATACTCGTTGATAAGATAAACTAAACACTAACAATATATCAAAGTGTGTCCTCCAACCTTTTCTAAATTTCATATCCTGAAGCTAAATATTTTCTGAGTATTTTAATTTATAAAAATCGAATTTTGAATGAGTATTTAATTAATTATTGGTTAAAATTATTTAAAGTTTTGATGAGAGAATGGTGAAGGTACTCTACAATATATTGTTCACTACTCCACGACATTGTTTATCTAAACTGTAAACACTTATATTAAATATTATAACTAATAATCTATTCAATTTTTATAAATTTATATTCTCAGAAAAATATTCTACTTTGAGATATAAAATTAAAAGTGTATGTTATTATTTAAAAAAAATAGTAACGTAAAAAAAATGACAATGACATAAATTGTGGAGTCATAAATTTTTTTCAAAATTTTTTTAGCAATATCTTAAAATTGTGCAAGTAAAATTATTTCAGAAATATAAATTTTTTGCGAGATAATGAGTGTTTATACTCAGTTTGGATTTACTCTTTGTTTCAATCTCAACCTATAAAACTTAAGCAGCTAAACCCTAATTTATAATAAACATTTAATGGCAAACTACATTACCTAAACAATATAGCGTAATAGATACGAAGCGGTTAAATAGAAAAAAAATTTGTGCCTCACCGGTAAACTGCTTAATGTCGTGACAAAAGATCAACAGCTATTATGGTCAAAGTCGTTTTTTGGTGGGACGACCGTGGGACCGATTACGTGTCGACACTTGTGTGGCAGTATGGGATGTGGTTCCGTTTGTCGACAAAAAAATAAAACGTATGACAATGGTAGTTTAGCAACGACGAAGACAATTGGCGGTGCAAGTGATGGTACACAGCAGCGCAACGACGACGATCGAGCGCGCCTGTTGCGGTTGACGGTAGTGAATACCTCACGGGGTAGGTGAAAGAAAACACATACAAAAACGCTCGATAATAGCCTTTTTATTATTATTGTTATAGTTAATTATTGTGTGGAACACCGAATAGGAGTATATAGAAGAAGGGCGATGGAGTGTAAAAACCTTCATTGTCATTTTTATTAGGTAATGTTTTTTTCCACACTTTTGATTTTATCATGATTATTTTTGAAGTATTATTAAGATTTTAAAACTTTATTATTTATTTATTTCAGTGACTGACCTAGGATAAATATTAAGACAAACTCAGTTATAAATATTACTTTTAAACAATTTGTTGTACTTGATGGTCTTAATATATTTTTTAAATTTATTTCATAGTCACTTTAGCATATTATATTAATAATAATAAATATCTACAGTTAAATAATATAGAACATATTTTTGACAAAATTATTATATAAATATTCAATCTGAAGATACAGGGTAATGTTTATAACTTGGCCAGATGGGCATCCAACTATGACTCAATTTTAGTTTACTAGTTTATTGACTATAATAATTTAAAGTTTAATCAACTCGTTATTAATTTTTATTGAATTAATTGGAATAAATTATTTCATTTACTAAAAATAAATATTTGTTTTTAACTAACTCTTAAAACAATTTTATATTTTTTATACACTGAATCGATAATCTAATTACACATGAACAAATAAAAAAAATATTCAATTTAGAGATAAACGGCTAAAATATAATTGGCAAACATTGTTCATTATTTTAATTTTAACATTTAAATACAATCTTAAAATAAGCAATATTATTGTAATTATTAAAATCATAATTAATTGATTTATCATTTTTCTCCTCGATTACTTTATTTACAAAAATATATAATATTATTGGAATTCATCATTAGGTGACTTAAGTAAAATGGTATTCAGTTATTATGCTGGAAATCTATGATTAACTCAGGTTAAAGAACAAAATTAAGTACCTATATTAATGTTGAATATTTAAGTAAATAATGGTATGTTTAACGTAGGAAATCCAAAGAATTAAATATATATTTGTAAATGTATTATTAAAAAAAAAAGACTAATTAATTCTTAAATTAAATTGTTGAATTCCATACCATCTACTTCTTTTCGGTTATTTAAACGATATAGAAATTTCGTACAAATATTAAGAGAATCAGCATAATATTATTTAAATCAAGTCACTTGTGAACATCCTTTGTTACAACTTTTCTTTGCAGTCATTAGCGTTTTATAGACTATTGTTTTAATACTACTTTTAGTGCTGTTTCATTCTGTTAAAAAAAAAATTAAGTACAGAAAAAAAATATAAAATAATCCATTATGATTATAATTATTTCAATGATAGTATTTATTTTATGGTTGTTTGTTAAAACATAAATAATTATTTATATTTATCAATTATTTTGTTGGCATTTATTCCAAAATCAGTAATATTTTTGTATTTATGTGTATGTGTGTGTGTATTAGAGCATATTTTAACATATAAAATAGGTGGCATGAGTGCCACTTAGTGAAAAATTAGTGCCATCTTGTGGTTAATGAATGTCACAATTCAAAAATATAAAAGATACCCGAGGTAGATATTTGGCCTAGTCTTTATTTCTTATAGACTATAGTGATAGTGCCACCTAGTAAAACATTCTTAAAATATGATTTGGTGTATGTCATTAGATTATCAATTAAGTGTACAAAAAAAAAATATATATATATATTTAATATTTATATTTATATGTATAAAATTAAATTATATGATGATATAAAAAAAGTATTTAGCTACAGTAAATAAAATTAATTTCAATTATTTTTAGGAAAAATGTAAATTCATTTATTTAACTTTAGAAAACTCATCAAAATTTTCAAAAAAAAAGCTCTAACATAATTCATTAAAAATATGTTATTACCATTTAACAAAAATTAAGTCGAATCAATCCATAATCATTAAGAAACCACACGTAAAACGACATAAGGTACACTCTTTGTCTCTGTATATATATTAACGTTGGTGACGTAAAAATGTATAGAGTACCTACAGAAGTTTAGTCACACGCCGTGCTGTGTGACGAGAAACGTTTCGAATGCACCAACACGTGGGACCCACAATCGGTTTACGACGAGTCACGTAGCTTGCCGCGTGCCCGCGTGACGTATATCAGACCTACGTCCGGGAGTCACATTATATCACGACGCAATCGTATTACTACAGACATTAACACACGTGTTATCGCTGCACGTGTGTTTATTGTGTTGTATAGTTATATATAGTGAAGTGGTGTGAACGTATTGTAGTTTTCGTCATCGTTACCGCCATATTTTTGCTAAGTAAAAGAAAAACTTATTAGGAATGTTGTATTCAATTTAAAATTTTTTTCACTCGCAAAGAAGAATTTTATCGTTCAAAGTTGTTGAAAAAAAGACTTGAAAAAGTCACGAATTTTAAATGTCTTTAAGTATTACGTAGTCTATGCGTTTAACATAGCAAATAGAAAGCAAAAATATTTGTGAAAGTTATTTACAATTTTAAATGCCAAAAATAAGTCTTATCTTTATCATTAAATTTTCATAGAATAGATCAAATTACTCTAATATAAAATAAAAGACGAGTAAAATAAATTATTTTAAACGTGAAATTTACTATATTATGAGTTAGGTGAATACAACACTTATGCATGTGACATCCAATTGAAAAATTATGAATAAACAACATCAACCACATATTAGAAAAAATAGTATAATAAGAATTTAAAAAAAAAATGTATATATTTATTATCTAACTTATTACTAGGTATTATTTTCCAAATAATGCATAAATACTTCCTACACAATTTTTATTCCGAGTATAATGATTTTTATAACTTAATACAAGATCATACATAAATTTTTTTTGTAAGCAATTTAAAAATACGTAAGCTCAGTATTTTTATAAATATTTTTAAAATTTAAATTTTGTTAAAATTGCGAATATTTGTAAATTATTTGAAAACATTTTTTATTTCAATGGTTAAGACTTTGTACGGGTTTCTGTCTCCTAAGACCCTATATGGTAACCAAGTACACCCACTGGTTAAGGTTTGAAAGTTAAATACGAGTTTTTTTCATAAGAATATGGTGAAATTAATCTAAATTAACACATGGGCTACCAAAATTTAGACAGTGTTTAAATCAATATTTGTAGATAATTTAAGAACTTATAAATTTATTGAATTATTTAAACAAGACGTTAGGTAAGCATGCGTTTACACTTTACACAAATGATCATTTCATAATTACTAATAATTCATAATTGGTAAACAAATAGATGTAGTATATTATAATTTATGTATTAAAATATGAGATTACTGAAGAGTATTGACAAATTTTAGTTAAAAATATAAATTATTGAAGCTAAATAAATTTTAACGAATAGTTAATTAATTATATTAATTGTATTTTAAAAAATGTGTGAAAATGACTTAACAAATTGTTTTTATTGGTATGAAAAATTATAGATTTAAATTTATGAGACAATTACCTGCACCCCATATATCTATCTGATAATTTATACATTATTATATAATATATGATTACGTATTAAACAACGAATAAAATTACCTTATAATATTTTAAATCTTTTCATGTTATTACATAAAATATCAAAGCTTAAAACCGTATTATTATTATTATTATTTATAAGTGGCTTACCTCTTAAACAATTTATCAAAGAATAAACAATTTACAAAAGATACAAAAACATACATTTTTATATTTAAATATGTCAACTTTTAGTTATGATTATGATCCGTAATTAATTTATACAGTAAATAGATAAATCACAAAATGTCGTGATACAGAACGAACGTGTCGACCGCTTCGAAAAACTTCAGCAATAAACTAACAACCAACTAATAATGTGTTAATATACGTTCCCCTGACATAATAAGACAACACTATCCCATGGAAAATCCGATTTTCGTGAAAATATGAGATCTATATTATCTAATAAGTTAAGTGTTAACAGCCACTGTTACGGTTCATCTTTTACTCCAGGCGTAATTTGAGATTGTCCAGCCATCATAATACTAAACTGTTGTTCGTACGCCACTCAGCCGTGTTAATCATATATCTAAGTCTCTCCAAATAATGCAATTATTTTACCGCTTATTTGTTCCACTAAACAATACAATAATTTAATTAGGCACACACAGTTCCATAATTATTACTTTTCGACCTTCGTGGAGTCATTGGTGAATTTTATGTACCTATATCACTTATTTTTGCTTCAGTTTAGATAATTATTACAATATTACTATATTACATTATTTCGTGTTATTTGAAATATTGTTATATATTTTTTATTATTAAGTAATTATATAAGTTAATAAGTTAAAATTAATTATATATATGTAAGCTTTAAATTATAAGAAAATAATAATAAACAAAAAAAAAACACTGTATTTTTAATTTTTTATTCCTATATAATGTTGTATAATACAATATTACAATAAATCATGCCAATCATGGTTATAAAAATTTTATTTCTTTAAAACTTTTTTACTACGAAGTTGTATATAATATTGTCATAAGTTGATAACTGAATTGCTCATTTCAAATTTAATTGATAAAATTCCTAAATTTACAAGACGTTTCTGTTTTAGCGCCAAACTGCCAAAGTACCTATAGATAATTTCCACAACTATTAATTTATTAATTTGCGAATACTTCGTTCACGATAAGTTATATTCACTAAAAGTAAAAGATAAATAATTGTTAGAGCTATTGTTTGTTCTTGTATTTTTAAAATTATAAAAATACAAATGTAGATACAAAATGTTTTGTATGTATTGGAAATTCAAATTTGGGCCAAATTACTTATTTAATCAATTAATAACAATGTTAAAATTGTTTTGTTGTAATTTAAAAAGATTTTACGGTATTTATAGAAATATGTTATTACATTTTGAGTTATTATATAACAAGCTGTTATAATATATTGTAAAAATATATTTTATTATAATAATTTAATACTAATGATAAAATAAACGCAATATTTTTGGACAAAAGTTTATCAGTATTCCGTGAATGTAAAATAAATGAATTTATTACCTATAGGTTCCATTCAGAATTGTTTTTTGTTTACAATGATACATAATTGAATTCAAATTTAACACACTCATAACAGTGACCCACTCGACACCTAATACACAGTAGAGTAGTACCCACTTTCCTGCCTTTTTTTAAGTTATTTATTCTTATATTTATAAATACACTCAGGGACGCAATCTTTTACTCTCATGTATTGATACATTCTTGCATCAACATGCAACCTGAGTCGGTGGCGTCATTTTAGGAGAGGTGAGCAGGTTGTGTGGTGGCACCACTTACTTTTAAAATAATCCAAATTAGTTTGCAGAAATAACATGCATCATTATTTATTTAATTAAATTAAAACTTTATGTTTTTATTGACATTTGAAATTAATAAACAATAAATAGAATGCTATCGATTAATTTGAGTGATCAATAAACATTACAATAATTATTATATACCTATATAACTACAGCTAGGTATATGATTAAGTATAAAATAAGAGATAATTATCATTGTAGATTAATCTAAAACCGTTGCTAATCATACTAAACCACGTGTTCAATTATTTTTTGAAACCATAGTTCGTGATCTATAAATCATATTTTTAATTGTTTTTACGACGTCTAGCTGACAATAATAACTGATACATTTTAATGGAAATTAACTGATAAATTAAAATTCAACAATCGCTATTGATTATATTATTGTAATATTAAAACATTTAAAACATTTAAATTGTAGTCCGTAACATTTGTATTTATAGAAAATAATAATGTACATAGGAAATAGATATATGGTATTATAGTCTGGTGAAATTTCAAAATAACTGACTTGAAACCTTGTACAACTGAAAAAAATTAAAATGACGCCCCTGATGTAAACTGATTCCGCTAAACATAAGTAATAAACATTTCATACAAATTAAATCATTATGTAACAATAATATATATTATTGTTACATGACACCTATGTATGTGTCAATTCCGTAGTAGGCAATAGTGGGATATTTATGCTGAGATAAACATTGTTAATGATTGTGAGGCCTGTGGCCAATACGCACTGTTTATCGAAAGGGCAGTTCGAGACTGACCAGCAATAAACACGAACTCACCAAAAAACATGAACTCACCAACACCGGGATTGTTTACCACCATCTACATTTTGTTAAGTACAAACCAAAAATATATTTTGAACAGAGATTTATAAACCAAACGTGTTTTATTTATTGATAAGATCCCACATACCGTGTTCTAACCCCCCAGCTACGGAAAATTTATCCATAAGGACCAGAAAACCTTCCCTGGATAACTAATATAGTAACTAGGTTCCCCAGCCACGTTACAATTATATAATATTACAATTCATATTAATACTCAATAGTAATTACATAAGTTTAGGATATTCTGTGACAAATATACATATATCTTACATTATTTTACGAAGGCTTCGTTTGTGTTGGATTATTTCTTTAGGGCAGGTTTATGTAAGAGTCGTCACCTGGCTATGTGGAATACTGGAATACCGTATACTATAAAATTACTGGGTGGTTTAATAAACATGTATTCAGTACGAATCCACAATTTTTCCTCAACTATGAATTTATTCAAATTTTAATTTGAATTTTATAATATTTATTACTTATTTGTCAAAATCCCAAAAATGTTTAAATTATTTATGTTTAGTTGAAAAATTATAAAACTCAAAATGTGTGTTGATTTAAGAATTTGTTACAAAAGTCCTCATAAGTAAATTTTTACTTTTTTTACGGGTATTTTAAATTTAAATTTTGATAAAATTAGTTATTAAACAAAAAATAACAATTTTAGTTATTTTGTTGTATTTCAAAACCATTCATGGGAACTTTAAATTACTACGTAGGTATATATTATTATAATTTATTATATAGCATAACATTTTCAAAATTTTTAAAATAATTTTAAGCTATTGCTTATTTACACTAAATTATTAATATTATAATTAATTACCATAATCTTCTTCATTGGCATCACAACTCTTCAAGAGTTTTTGCCGCCACCGACAACTCCCTCCACTCTTCCCGATTTTGTAACTTTTCTTCCCAATTTGATATCCCTAATTTCTCTTGGTAGAGACCAAGAGGACGTCCAAAAAAGCGATGGATAGATGGTATAAATTACCATAATAGCAATATTAATAATTGATGTATATTTATACAAATATGTATTTAACAATATAGGCTGGCAGAACGTCTACGCTCAAAATCGTTTTTAGTATGAACTAAATTCAAATTCAACACAATGTTATTAATGTTATTATTCAGTGATCAAATCAATAACGAAGAGGTACATTCACATATACTGAATTTATGAACAGCATAGTTACGGAACTTATTTTTTAACTTATAATTTATTTATATTATTTTATCAAAATTTTATAATTTAGAATAAATGCTTAGGTTTAATAAGTACAAATATTTCCTAGATGCTTTTTTCAAACTTTAAGCCGCTGCGTAAAAAGGAACTCAATGAGCTTTACTCCCTCTTTCCTCTCCTGCAGCATTGTTTATTTAAATAAATAATATTAAATAGTAGGTACACAATATAGTTATCCACAGTGGAGACTTGTATTTTTTTTTTACATTTGGATAAGCCACAATGGGAATTGGTGGAATAAGCCTCACAATTCATTATAAATATAATTCTTTTAACGCCACTAAGCGCCGTCATAGATTTCTCAATTTTACATCGATTTTTCGAACCAAGTGGACCCTACTACTTTAAGAATTTCGTTTATCCCGCCTGAGGATCACCGTAAATATGGAATGAAGAATGGGTCTGTGGCACCTCCAACATATCATGCAAAGATGTTTACCATTCTATCATTTCTATCTCATCAATCTTGACTCATGGGCCAATCCTAACCTACAGCTTTCAGATGCGTTTAACAGTTTCCAGCATCCAATACATTTCAATATTTCATACATTCAGTCACTTTAAAAAGTAATTTTTTAATTAATGATGTAGAAGGCAATACATAAATAATAATTATTAACATGTTTAATATACTAAATTATTAAATATAAATGTTATTAATAAATAATAATAAAATTAATAAAATTGTTACTTCTTTATTTATTATTTAGAAGTGACCACATATTTTTTTAGGTATGTTGTTCATAATTTATATTTATTTTTAGACAACATACTCGTACTTCATCAGATGATCTAGCACAATAATGCCAAAGAATTATTTTTGGGTATATATTTTTTTAACTGGTTGCCAACATCAGTTATTTTACCTAATATTGCTGAAGCCTTATCATTATCACTAACATTAACAAATGTAACCAAATTATTTTTAAAATAGACTTCAATTAAACCATCCATTACAAGATTTAATATAATTATTGTGATTAGAAACAAAAATTCAAAAAAAATAACATTTCTAAACTTTGATTCTTTTTTATAAAAACTCCTCATTTGAGAAAATTGGCTAATGTAGGTATATACAATTCTACCTATTTTACTTCATCTATATAAATTATTTTATTATTTCAACTTATTAGACGTGTTTATTTGTGATGATAATACTTTGAAACTTAATAAAGGTACGTTGAAAATAGAAGAAATATTCTAATGCATGATTATTGAAAAAATTAAACCATAAATATAAAAATTAATTAATATTTTTCTTACATATTTAATTTCAACAACATTATGTATTATCTTGTATAACTTCTACCTTATATACGCATAAGATTAAACAATAAAATATGAAAGAAAAATCAAATTATATAAATTATTACCATGTATAAACTCATAATATTTTCAAAAATTTAGTACAATTGCATGTACTGAACACTATTCAACAAGACAAGACAATACTATCCTTTGAAAAAGAGTACCTACGTCTAATCACCGTCGATATAATTGCATTTTTTACTTAGTCTGCTGGCGCATAGGTATTCAATAATATCAAAGAAAAACGTAATATTATTTTCAACAAGTGCAGTCCTTAAACAAATGACCAATATAATTTTTTATTTAAAAATAGTTGTTTCATCTGTAAATTACAATTATTTATATATTTTTTTTCATGTTCAATTATATCATTATAAATTATTTTCTATATTCCTTACATCATTGATCATATTATGTCTTATAATAATTAATATTAACACGAGATGTTAAATATTTTTATTCCAACTCTAGCCTTGATATTTTATAATTTGAAATTAATGCCAGCAGTAGACTAATAAAAAGTTTTACTGTATATAACAGGGGTTCAAAATTTATTATGAATTTTAATTATTAAATTCTAAGCAGAGCGATAAATGTATTGATATTATGATGTATTGTTTTTTTGTATAGGTGTGTAAATGAGTACACGGTAAATAAATAGATTTATTGAAAAAGTAAGAGGCTAGTAAACATTAACAGTGTATTTATGTTGGTTTTTACAATACTTCAATTTTAAAGTTATGACTTCATGAGCTTCTTCAAATTTCAGTATTTTACATTCTTACTCAAAAATTAACTTTTTTTTTTTTTTTTGCAGTACTTACACAATTTATACCCACAGGGCAGAATAATTAGTATATATCATAAATGAAAGAATACACACCTATAAACTAACTTAAAAATTAAAATAATGCAAAAAATCTAAATAAAGTCATAGAAAATGTTCTTACTTTTAGGCTTTAAATTTTATAACGTAATTTTATTTTAAAAAAATAGTTAATAACACAAAATTAAAAATTGGTTTTGGTTAATACATATTTACTCTGTTGCGCATTTAAAAGTCAGCATATTATGTAGGCAAGATATATCCCAAGATGGCACATTAATAAACCTCTTAAATTTAAATTTAAAATTATTTTAGGCAAGTTTGATATGTTATATTGTTTTATACATAATTACAAGAATGATAAATTTAATTGGAAATAATATAAAAATATAAAATTACAACTTCGGGATTGACTGATTGTAGACATTTTAATAGTAGGAAACTAACTTGTTTTATTTAAATAGTGTATTGTCTATCAATGCTAGAGACAATTTATTATAATTGATATTGTAAATGAATAATGTTTGTATTTTTATACTTAACTGAATTCTCTATCATTATAATACATAATATATTTATTATTTAATACCAATAATAACAAAAAGTTGTTTGTTCAATTGAAAATGTATTTAAATTGCAAAACATTAAATACACAATAAAATTAAACCATATTAAGTACATTATTTTTAAACTTACTATTGTATACCTGTTATAATAACTCTATACTAAATAATATAAAATTATAAAATATTTACAAGAAATAGATTTTGTACATAAATGATACATCACATATTAATTTTAATATTTTTAAAACAATTAAATTTCTGTATTAAGTTCACTTAAACCTTCAGGTTCTTGTACAGCTTCAGGAAGTGGACAATATATATTGGAACAAGAATTTTCTATAAAATAATCACCACCCATTTCAGCATACATTTCAGGTGTAAGCAAATATTTATGAAAATCTTGTTTATTAGCAAATTCCTTAGCACCAAACCAAGCATCTAAAATAGGGGAGTCAGATAATTTTACATTAATATTAGTTTCTAATGGTCTCATTTCCCGAAGTTCTCTATAAACTCGTTCCTTGAAAGCAGGTAGTTTAGTTGGACCACCAGTTAAGAACACATTTTCTGCTAGATTATTAGCTGTTTGGGCATCATATTTTTTTAAAATGAATTCTATAGTATCACTTATTCCACCTTGACCACAACCAATTATTGATGGTTGGAAAAGAATTTCTGTACATCTCATCCGTTCTATTCCAAAATGTAACTGATGAGCTTCTTTGGGATTTTGTTCTTCATTGGTGTTAGAGCTAACAAATGTTGGATCATAAAATCGCAAAACTTCTTCAAGCTCTGAAATTTTTTCTTGTTCCTCCTCACTATCAGTATCACCACCTTCCTAAAATTTACATTTGAAACTTTTTTATAATAAAAATAAAATAACAAATATTGTTTTACTTATTGTAAACATAGAAATCAAGTAAAAAAAGTGTCATTACTGAGTGGCTTTTTTTATTAGTCAACTTTAATAATAATATACTACCTGTCCATACACTAATTTAAAAAAAAAAACCATTTTAACATAATTGTATATTTCATATAAAAAAAAAGAAAACATTTTTAAACATTACTACAATAAAATTGAATGTTTAAATTAGTTATCAAATATTTAGCATGTTACCAGTAATGTATTTTTATGCCTATGGATTTAATTAGTTTGATTAATATAAAGATTTATAACAAGTCATAGGATTGTATCTATGGGCTTTGATTTCAAATAAATATACTGTTATTAAATCAGTAAAGACGTCAAATTTTTAAACTTAAGATAATTGAATATTGTTACATCCCGACTTGTTGATTCTCGTATCAACGCAAGAATAAAAATGTAATGTATTAAATGTAGAAAAATCTTTACTTAATGTTAACTTAGAATACAAAAATACAATATGTTAAATATAAGATGGTGAGCTGTATTACGCCCTGGATCCAAAATACTGATAAATAAGCATGTCTAAAGATAAGTCGATCCAATGATTATACGAAACAATTTATATCAGTCAAAAATAAACTAAAATAGTATACTTAAAAAATTAAAATTGTTATTAGCTATTACAGACTAAAAATTAGATTAAAAAATATTCTTACCACAATAAACTGAACTTACTTTATTTATAACTTTGTAAACATCCCAGTCTTCATCTCTACTACCAAAATCATCATCTCTTTTATCTTTCCTTGCTAACTGGCTAATTAATCGCATTCTTTCTAAAGATGCAGCAGTTCCTCTTTTAGCCATATCTTGTCTACGCTGTTTTCTAACAGTTTTTTTATCAATTATATCTTGCCTTTTTTTATATATATCTTTAAGCCAAGCTTTTGAAATAGACTCTTCTTTAGGTAATTGAATCTTATTTTTAAAAAATCTTAACTTAGGCTCTTCTGTTACGTGTTCTTCAACATTGGAAGCATTATGAGAAGCAGCTGCAATTTTTGATTTTGCTCTATCAATTCTGGTTTGAAGATCAGTAATTAATTTTCTTAAATCCTTTTCATTTTTTAATCCATGAGATCTCAATACTTCCTGAGAACATAAAAAATTAAACTTGTAATAAATATAACATCTAATTTGTTGTTAGAAATAAAGGTATTTGACATATTATTATGTAACCTACTGGACCAACTACAAATTGAATTTCAAACTTTCAAATGCTTATAAATAAATGTTTCCTATGTATCTTTATTATTTTTTAATAACTATATTAACAACATAAGAGGAAGGCATCTTGTATTCAATTTTCAAATCTTAAATAAGAATATTAAACATTTTATGCATTTTTAACAATAAAATACTTTAATTTTGTATGTATATATTTAAAACCCAGAGAGAAAAACTGTTAGAAAAATGTATATTTGATATGAAAAAACTACTTCAAGTAGAACACAGTAAAAACAATTTTTTTGTTAAATTAAAACCTAGACAACAGAGGCTAAATTTTTTTTTTTTTTTATGTCACAAATGGCACAATTGCTAAAACAATAATAAAACCATATTATAATACTGTCTCCTAAATATAGTAAAAAAATTCTTTTGAATAAGAATAATTCTTAGTGTAGCTCAAGTGTTTGATCAATTTTGCCTGATCTAATTTTTATACAATTCTCTTCCACTCTCCTATACATAACTTATTCCTTTCTTAAAGTACTTTTGAAGTGTATTACGAGGAAATAAACTATCTGTTACTTTTCTTATAGAAGCTGGTAATTACTCAAGGTAGTTTCTTTACTAAAACACTAAAAATTATAATCTTTATATTGCTGAGAGTTGAAATATTCAATCTTAAACTCAGTAATTTAACCACTTTTGCAAATTAAATCTATAGAAATCTTACTAATATTCAATAATAAAATAATTCCCATAGAAAACTCAGTTTTTTAATTAGACATTCACTTAGGTAAACAATAAACTTGTAGTACTCACACTACAACTTAAATTAAAACTTCATAATAGTATAAGATACCTTTTTTGTACAAACATCTTTTTTAAACTCATTGTACTTGTTATCTAATTCGCTATAAATTATAAAATATTTTTCAGTGCAATAATAATCATGGATAGTATTTTTAAACAAATGACTCCAAACTGGTATGTTATGCTCCTAAACTACCATTGTGTGACTGTGACATACCATCACTGTGCAACCAAAACCCACAGCATAAAGCCATGAAACTTTAATAACAATATAATGACTATTTTGACACAAAACTCTTAACATGATTACATGATAAGAAAAAAATGTCATCAAATACTAATTATTTGAATATTTACTTTAACTTCTTCAATAGGTTCTCCATCTTCAATCATATCTCGGATCATTAATAATTGATGAACTTGTTCTTCGTCTTCTGCTAACTATAAAACATTTTTCAAAATTTTGTAACTTTATATTTATAAATATAACTAATATAAATAGCATAAACATTTTTACTTTTTCATCTCTTTTTCTAGCATTCATCTCTACTAATTTTTTAGCCATTTCTCTTCTTTTGTCTCGTTGTTGATCTGGTGTTAAAATAACAGCCATAGAATAAGGAAGTTGTATTCTTTTCACATTACTATCATAATACTCTGCATCTGACCATTGTTTTAATACATCAGTATAATGCACCGCCAAAAACCCGTGTTCATAAAGCAACTCCTTAAATATTATTTTTATAATAGTCAACCTAAATTAAAGTAATGGTATTTTATTATTAAAATACATATTGTTATAAAATACCTCGGCTCGGCTTGGTGTTATAGCATTATAATGTGCCGGATATTTAAGTTGTAGAAGTTTGTGTAAATAATATGTTATATGATATCCGCCGACATCAATTCGACGACTATTTATTAAATCAGGAATACCTTTGATTACAGGTATAATATGTGTTGTATGATGGCCACAATTCACAATGAGTCCTGTTTTTTCATTAAGACCATTATGTTGGTAACTGAATAAACCGTCTATCCCATAACAAATGCCCGGAACATGGTAACATTCAAACAATAGCTCTGACATTACTGAAAAACAATATTAAAAAGTATAACACAAGCACATTGTCTAACAGTTAAAATATTTACATAGCCGGGAATAATTAGGATTGGCAACTGGTTCTGTTATTATAATTGGGTGGTTTATACTACCATTAGTATCAATGCCCAAATGTGAAAAAGTGTAATCAAAAATCTGTTCTTGAACATTAAATTGTGTTATTACATTGCGATCAAATTGTGATTTCAACTGAAATCTGACTGCTTCTATGTTTGCTATATCATTTCCAATAAGTGTCTCGCCATCCTAAATATACATTTAAAATAAATTAAAAACCTTTAATCAACATGACTAATAAACTTGTTACTTTTTTTCCTCGTTCTTTTCTTGGGCGAGCTAATATATTTTTAAATATGAGATTTGGAGCATTAGATGTTGCCCACCCAGCTTTACAAGTAAACGAACCTGATAAAATAAATGGGTATTTATTATAAATAAATTCTAATTAATTATAAATGTATATAGTTACCATTATCAATGACTATTGGTGTTTTTGAATTTCGTAAAGTTGGTGTGTAATCGTAATATTTATCTGGAACTAGTTTGAGATCCTTAAGTATAATAACTTCTTCTGCCATATTAAATAAATAGTGAGGTGAACATTTATAATTTAATGTAATTAAAATTAAAAATATAATACGTCAAATATATTTTGGATAGATAACTTAATAGTTTACAATTCTTAAATAATATTGTAACAATTATTAATAAATAATAGGTAAAAGGTAAAACATAAATGTTAATAATTAATTATTATAAATAACAATTAAATAATTATATCATTTATTTACATCGGTTTTGAATTTATTTGAAAAATTAATGTTTTAAAAATTTCGTTATCTAAACATCAAAACTAATATGATAATGATAATTACAGTGTTGGCAACATTTTAACATATTATTTGCTATTATTAAGTCTCGTTGAATATGAGGTTGTAAGTTGTAACGGTCTAAGTAATCCACAGACTATACTAGGTGGACTCGCATTGATATTTGATTCGTAATAAATTCGTATTATTCGTAACCTCGTTAGTCGTTAGTCGTTACCTGTTGGTAGATTCAAACCTTAATAAGTTTATAAACTTCCACTTCGTTACCAACTAAATGAGATTGACCTTTTATTTCCTACACGTTTTTAAAGCTCAAAGCTCATCCACTGATCTACCTACTTCACTCTTACTGGCCTTATTCATACAAGCATTTATCTCTATAGTAATCTGATGCTAAACCATCTCAAACGACTCGGAACTGTTCACCCTCATTTTATCTATAATTATTAATTTATACAATTGATGCCACTAGCCACTAAAGTACCTTAAATTTATTTATTTATATTATTCTAGCCTATATAATCACACGAGGGATAATCCACATTCCACAGTTCACTTAAACATTGTTTCTTTGTTACATTTATTCACTGTTATGTATTTTTTCTACTGTCAAACATTCTGAATTATACATGTCCGACCTGATAACTGCTATATAAAATCTACGTTTTAATTTCAATAGTATTCTCTTGTAGGAGCAGCAGATGGGTTATTTTTGGCTTTCTGAGAAATTTTAAGGACCACCACATAGGAAAAAACCACTTGTTTCATTTGCAAATAAAAAATATTAACTGTTTAACAAAATAAACTTTTTTAAAAATATTTAATTTATTTTTTACATTATAAAATAGTACTTACATATCAAGTATTTTCAGCCGTTTAACGAGTAAACGCTAGTAGTATTTACTATTTAGCATAGACGTGTACAGAGTGTTACAGATTTAGTACAATTTTTTATTACAGGTAAGTACCTATTCAGTTTAGGCGATGGTTATTTAGTTACAATACTACTGACTACAGTAGGTAGTAATAACAGTAAAAAATTTAATTTTATAGGTATCATGTTATAATATTAAATTCTAATCATTTTAACATGGATTCTGCCTCTGCGTAAATAATAAATAAAAATATAATTATTTATAGAAAGTTAAAAAATCGATATTTTAATTAAACAAATTAAACATTCAATATATTCATACAGATTAGTTACCTACGAGTTTACGATTTATGCCATATAGATCATACCCATGCGCACGCCTTAGGTAAATAGTATGTCTTACAGTGGTACTAATTAGAAACCATATGTCCATATATGATATTCATAACTAAGTGGTAACTGGAAAATCTGTGTTACTTCTTAATACTAATTACTAACTACCTACAAATCTCATCTGACACAAATATTTCGAGATTGACGATTGTTGTCTTTGATTCTTTATTATCTGTAGGTAAGTATAAAAAATGATCTGACAGATGATTACAACATACAACAAAAATAATGTAGGTAGTGGTGCACTAAGAAAAGATTTTTAAAATTTATATTCAAAATACGGAAATCGAATATTTTGTATACATATACATAGTTTAAAGTAAATTAAAAGTATAAGTAATTATAGTAAAAACAAAAATAAATAGATAATCTTAGGTATGTGAAAAAAATATAACAACAAAAATGTTAAATATTTACAAAGTAGTCAAAATATTTTGAAAACTACCAGGCATATAAAGTACTGATAGGTATATTTATTTATGATATAAATTAGGGTTATTTATAACTATTTGTTTTTTAATTATTTAAAAGTAAGAAAATAATTTAGTAAGAAATCATTATTTTACATTAAAAAAATATTTGTGGAATTACATTCACCCATTTTTTCTTCTAATTTCCAGCACTTAATAATAACTCATGAATTATGAGAAACTGTACTATATTTTTAAACCTTAGGTATAAATTTTAAACATTTAACGAAATTTATTAAAATTCTAATTTAAAATGCTTATTAAAAAATATACTGTTGGATATTATATACCTACATTTTATTAATTGAAGATAATTTATTTTTCACCAAGTGCATGAAATATAATTTAACATTTTATATAATAATCTACTGTACATATTATAAGTTAATAGTTAATTTAATTTATACAGATAATAATGATGTTTATTTATTTTATAAATTTACACCCAACAGGGAATATGTAATTTTAATGGTATAATATATTGTATTAACATAAGAATACAAGAATAATATGTAAAAATTAGATGTATGATTTAATAAGTAATAAAGATTAACAATAAGAATATATTAAGTTATTTTATACAATAGATATTATATTTATGAGATAAACCAAGCAGTAGAAATAAATAAATGAATAAAATTAGGGTCTTCATTAAATTTATTAATTAATTGTTGGTTTATTTCATAGTTATTATTATTATTTTTTAACATCAATTAAGAAAAATAAATAATACCAACTTTTCTTTAACTACTAGTTTGTATTGACACAGATATATGGTAAAATACTAAAATATGATAATAAAAAACTTGTATATACAACATTAATAATATATATTAAATATAAAATAATTTGTTTTGGTAAAAATAATAAGATATTTTACTTTTCAACATGTTAATAAAAAAAATACTCAACTAAAATTTATATTTAAATGTTTAATTTAAAAAGAAATTTGTTTTGTTCATTTTGTAAAACGAATCCCTGCTTTTTCAGATTATGACATTGCAAGACTAAATGAGGCATATTTGTAAGGTCCACCCAGCAATCGTCTTCATCTTCATCATTACACTCCACTAGTAACTTTAAACATATTAATGCATTAAGTAAATTAAATGCCTAACAAATATTTATTATTATTAAATTTATGATGATTTGAATTATTATTGTACAAATTCATTATCAATGTCATGTTAGAATTTATATTTTATAATTATAAACTTACACTTAAAATTTCTTTCAATGTAGATGAAGGATCTACTTGAGATAACAATGTATACTGAAAATAAAAATAAATATCGTTAGTCAGTAATAACTCATAAAATTATTATTATATTATACAGTGTTTCTTTTAAAAGTTAAAACACTAAATATTTCTTTCTTTTGTATTTCTTTAGATCAATTTTTTTTTTTAAGCCTATTTGTTTTTAAAATATGGCTATAATAGCAAAATTTACTAAATAACACATTAAAGTCTTAATTTAAACAACTCAATAACTGAATTTTTTGACGATCATTTAATGATTATCTAAATTTCTGTGTAACCGTATATTTTAAACCCATCTTATACTGGTAATTTGGTCAATTTTAATTTTAAAGTCAAGATTAATATGAGTTTTGATCTATTCAAATGTGGTGTTACTGTTTAAAACAATTCAAATTATAATGTATGTGTGCACAATGAAAGATCTAAACATTTAAAAACTATTTTAAAAGTACATATCCAAGTTCTCCTCAGCTCCTATTGAAAATCCATTTTCAATCTGTTCATTGAATAGTAATATTTTGTGTTTTTTTTTAAGGGGTATGAGATTAGGTCTGAGATTATTATTAATTTTAGAATCTGTGATATCATGTTAAAGATAATAATAAATTAATTTACCATATCAGATTTGCATTCCTTGAATTCTCGGGCAACTTCAGTTTCCATTTCTGTACTTATAGTATTTTGAGCTTCAATTTTGTTTAATTCTTGTTGGAAATCTTTCATAAATATTGATAAATTGTTGAACCTATGAACAATATTTTTTATTTTAAAAATATTAATTTAAGCACTGTACATATTATATAATATTATGCATAGAATATTTAAATTACCGATCAGTACGTTTAATAATATTCTCATTATCTTGTTTAATGTTATTCAGAAGTAGTTTACATTCTGCAGATATCTTTTCATATGTTTTTAAAAGTTTTACTGAACTTAATGATTGGAAATTAGGGTAATCTTTAAAAAATATTTCATGGTCATTAATTAAATTATGATATTTAATAGAAAAATGTTATTAGTTACTTAAAGGTTTTGTCTCCTTTAATAAATGGGTAATGCCATTAATAATGTTTTTTTTAATTTTAAGTACTTCTTGATGTGTAGATGGATCAGCTGGATTGTTTACAAGGTTCATACATTGATCTAACTGACTCACTCTTGCAGCCATTACCCTTACTTGATCTTTAAATTTTTGTAGGACATCATAAAGAGTATAGTTGTCAGTTATAACTGCAGTGTTGTCCAGACATTCAATTTGTGATTGAAGAATGTTATTAGTTGAACTACAATTCTATACAAAAATTAGTTATTTACAATTAAGATTTGACTTTAATTCATATCATATTCATGAATATGTTTAAACTGTATAATCAATCATTTTATTCTTTATAACTTAACATTTTTTAATAAATCAAACTTATCCAAGAATATATTTATTTTTGAATGCATTTATTAATGGATTAAAATATATAATAATAGTACATAACATATAAATACCGAACTAGAGGAAGTAGGACTTAATTGAATCTAACAATAGTTTAACTATTTCAAGTTTTATATGGGGAGTTTCTGATAAATAGTTTATGTGCAATAAAAAAATATATAAACTATAAGTATCAATTTATAATATATTAAATATGTAATTTGCAAAATGGGTGAATAAAATATTACTGGATTAATTTATTTTGGTTTATATATAATCTAAAATATAAATAATAATGCATGTGAACTCACCTCATTTTTATAATTTGAATTAGAAAAGTTGGAGTCCGACATTTTTTCTTAAAGTTGTGATTTATACTTATTGGCTATTACCACAGAATAATATACCTTAATTAATAATAAAAACACTAAATCAAAGTTATTAAGGCTTAAAATAAACTTTGTTTTGTAAATTGGTTTAACGTTTACCACTTTATACTTAAAGATTAGAATTTTTTATTTTAAACTTGTTCCAATAATATAATATTAATATCTTATAACTACTAGCATATGAGTTAAAGATGCTTATACCTGCTAAGTATTGAGTAATATGTAGGTAATGGCTTTTAGCTATTACGAAATACGAAATACAAATTTGGTGAATTGTGATTTATGAATACTATAACTTATGTAGTTATATATAAAAATAATAAACTACAAAAAAAATAAATAAATAATATATCAAAATGTCTAAGCAATCGCATTAGTCTAAAAAATCTAACTTTCCCGCAGTCGTTTTTGTTTAATCATCCAACATTGATATTGACATAACACCAAATCACTCAAAGTATTTAGTTTTTGTTAAATTATTTATAATTTAAATACATAATTTGAAAAAGTTAAAATTAATGAAACAGTAATCAAGCTTTCTTAAAACTTTAAATCGTTTAAATTAAAACAATAAAATAAACATATAATATGATAATATAATTGGTATTTAAATGACAGTTGTCAGTTAATACTTAATACTTACTACTTTAGTAGTTCCATTTTCCATTTCCATTATATCAAGGTTTTATCTATAAACCTTTCCATTAAATATGGTTATTGGTTACAGGTATCTAACTTATTAGTTATTATCATTAGAAGGATGGTAATTCACGTTTATTTCTGTGGCCAACCTGGAATCTGCAGCTGATAGTCAATGATTTTTTCTTTTTAGTTTGTACTGAAGCCAAGTTCAAGATTCAAGAATTCACTTAGCCTATTTCACGGCGTTCGGCAACACCTCCATTTCGCGTGGCTACTGCTGTCAAAAACTACTACTATTGACCTTTAACATCAAACGAAAAATCTAACTGATCACTATGTATTCTCCGTTCCATCAACTCAGAAAACCCGTGAACCAACAGAACGGACTGGAAAATGTTTCTCAATTTCCTGCTCATCTCGTGCCAGGTACCCACATTTAAATTTTCTTTATTAATAGCGTTATCTATATATCGAAGCTAAATTCAAACTGATGCTTTACATTTTTTCCTAGTAATATTTGAAATTTATTTTATTATTCGAATGTTTTGGGTTGCAGGTAGGACCATCGCTGCGGCTGCAGTCAATGAAGATAGCTGCGAGTTTGGGTCACCTAAATACTTTGCACTTTGTGGGCTCGGCGGTATTATTTCGTGTGGTCTGACACACACCCTTGTCACGCCCTTAGATTTGGTCAAATGTCGTCTTCAGGTGAACCCTGCTAAATACAAGAACCTCATCAATGGTTTTAAAGTAACAATGGTTGATGAAGGTGCTAGAGGATTGGCAAAAGGATGGGCTCCGACTGCCATGGGTTATTCCATTCAAGGTCTTGGTAAATTTGGTTTGTACGAATATTTCAAAATTTTGTATGCTGATTTGTTGGGAGAAGAAAATGCATATTACTGGCGTACATCTCTTTACCTTGCTGCCTCTGCATCTGCTGAACTATTTGCTGATATTGGTCTCGTTCCTCTTGAATCAATTAAAGTTAAAATTCAGACTACTCCTGGTTTTGCAAATACTATGCGTGAAGCAGTTCCCAAAATGTTAAAACAAGAAGGCATATCAGCTTTCTTCAAGAGTTTAGTACCTTTATGGATGAGACAAATTCCTTATACCATGATGAAGTTTGCTTGTTTTGAAAGAACAGTTGAATTAATTTATGCTCATGTTGTACCCAAACCAAGGGCTGAATGCAGTAAAGGAGAACAATTGGTTGTTACATTTGCTGCTGGTTACATTGCTGGTGTTTTCTGCGCTATTGTATCCCATCCAGCTGATACATTGGTATCAAAATTGAATCAAGAAAAAGGAGCTTCATCCGTTGATGTATTAAAAAAAATTGGTTTTGGTGGCCTATGGAAAGGTTTAGGCCCAAGAATTATCATGATTGGTACCTTAACAGCATTACAATGGTTCATATATGATTCTGTGAAAGTTACTTTGAACATTCCTCGACCACCACCACCAGCACCACCAAAGGCAAAGAGTGAATAAACAGTTGATAATTCAACTATTTAATCAATTCAGAACCCCGTCAGTCTTACTTAAATTAAATGTAAATTATCTGCATCTATTAATCTTTGAAGAGCATTTAGTGTTAAATTGTTAAATTACAGTGCTTTTTAGTTTTGTTTTACATCTTAATTAGAAGCTTAATTCATTCCAGTATATAAATACCTCAATCACGTGTTTTATTAGAATACAACATTTTAGAGTGCAGTATCACTACTGTAATAATATGTTTGTTTAATGTTAATATCTTAATAAAGTTACTATGTATGTTCTGAATTGTTTTTCATTTTTTTTTTTTTTTTTGTAATCATTTATGATATTTTCATTGTTTCAATGAAAATTTTATTGTTACATAATGTTGATGAGTGGTTTAGTGTTGATTTTTATATGAGTTAAAAATAGAACAAAATACTTGGCACACATTAAACGTACTATTATTATTCATAATATAATTTGATATATTACTGTATTTTTCCATTTTATCAGAAGTGTTAAATAAAATGGTTATCTCACTGAATTGAGTATTTAGTTCAGTGCATGTCCTCTCCTCATGATGACTAATTATAATCTGACATTAACACGTGTTTGATACATGTAATTTTTTTTTTTTATCTTAGTACATAATATGTTGAGATTTGGACTTAAATTCATCAGTGATGTTACAATTTTAATTATTTAGACTTGAAATGATCACTTACAATCATAATAATATGATAATAATAATTTTATAAAACTAATATAATTTAAAATAAAACCAATACAAAAAATATCAAACAATATTTTATTATCCCAAGTTCAAAAATATTAAAAATGTTTTCGTATAATATTGAATAACTATTATATAAATTAAAATTCAAAAATCAAATAGGATAAGCTTTTAAAAAAACAATTCAAATCACATAATGATCTTATAAATATTGAGCCTTTTAAGGCTTCAACATAACATAGAATGGTATCATCAAGATAAAGTATATACAAAATTGGATTAACCAAATTTGATATTGCACTAAATGCAAACAAAAATAACAATATTTAAAATCCAGCCTCTTTTAGTTGTTTTAACTGATAATTCAGTCTATCTTCTTTCGCCTTCCTTGTATATGACATCTAAATTAATTAAAAATAACATTAAGAAATATTTTTCTTAAAAAAAATTGTAAAATATTAAATACTAAATAATATTACTTAAGCTACTTACAGTTCTTGATTTCACATACACTTGAAGGAATTTATCACAATCTATATCACCATTTAAAAACTGTTCTGCTATTCGTTCACTTTCCTCATCACATTTGATAGCAGCTTTTTTTAAATTATCCTGAAAGAGTTATTATAATATTTTTAGTGTACAAATACTTATACACATGTAATATATATTTGGTATTTTACCGAGATTGATTGTGGAGAATATTTCTCTGATAACTTAACATACTTTGCTGAAAGTCCAGCATATGATTTTTGATAAGTTTCTATTGTTTCTAATTGTTTTGATATTTCTGATCTTAAATTACATATTGGTTCTTCCTTAGACATGTTTGAGTCTAAAAATATTAAATAACTAATAATTTTTTTCAAAACCATAAAAATTATGTCTATAATTGTTTTTACTTGCTAAGTCCATTATTTTAGTGATGGTATTTTCAATATTTTTATTAGATGCTTCTATTGATGGTAATTCTGAAATGAATTCATCTAAGCAGTCAACATTATTATTCAAATGTAGTAATTCAGTTGACGTTAGTTTGGCAAGACTAAAAAATTCTACGTCCTGAAGAAAATATATATTTTAATTATTCCAGGTTTTTAATAAAATATATTTCGACTTACATTAGTGAGAGAGGTGTTTGTATTTTTTATACAACCTTTGGCGGTCTTTCCTGAAAAACTTTAAGAAATGTATGAGTAAACTGGAATAGATTTGATTGAATAAAAATTACCTGTTAGAACCACCACTTGCAAGAATAAGTGATTGGTCTAATTCAAACTCTCTTCTTATGACTTGCACTACTCTTCCCAAATCAGAGTGAATAGTATACTATAACAATATCAAAATACAAAATTATTTATAAATAAAAGTATAACATAAAATTCTTACATTCATCAATCCAGGAGCTAGCACTATTTGGCCAGTAGCATCCACCCATTTATGGATAATTCTAGGGCATATTTTCATAGTGGGTTTCTCGATAGGAAATTTTGGACCTAAATCAATAACCAGGCTCAAATTCCCAACTTTAGTAGGAAATTCAACTGAATATTCTTTATTGAAACTAATTTCTGTAACACTAATTTAAATTTACATTATAAGCTTGCATGCAGCTGATGTTTTGGAATGGCCGTGTTAGCTTACTTTTCATTAAATACTTTTAACGTATCGATTTGTTGTTCACGTTTTCTCGATAGGTCAATGTTATTATACAAGTTTGTAGAAAGCATTTTTAATTATTTAGTCACTGAAATTTGCAAAATTTCTAATTGAAGCAAAAGTCGACAAATCGAAATAAGGCAATCAACATTAAATTAATTCAAATTCCAAAGACTAAATTTGTCTGAAATCCGCAGTTGATCAGTGTTCTATTAATTAAAAACTGAAACCTAAACAAGAATCAAGATATTATCTATAATCTTGAAGAAAAAAATAAAAATTGTTCATGATGTATTCACTATTCTAATGATAATAATAAGTATATTCATCACAGACTATGATATAAATAAATGTTCTATGATACCACAGAATAGATAATTAATAATGATAATAACAAAAAATGTTCATGAATTATGATAACAGCAATACAGCATCAAATTTTAAATTTGTAGTAAACATTTCACATTTGTTAATTAATATTTCATTTTGCAATTTTTTTTGAACCAATACAATTTACAAACACTAAATAACATGAAAAAATAAATTTATTTTGTCATGCAGAATAATGCGCTTTACATTAACATTAAAAATATTTAAAAATATATTTGTTTATAATATAATCACACTGAATGGTGGTTTTATTGGAAAAAAATGAAGCGACATTACATGATTAACAATTGAACATACAAAATAATTAATGATGGATGTTTGTCACGCACCACAATACTTACCTGACTTAGTGTTGGACATAATATTTTCAAACTTGGAGCTGCCAGACTTGTTAAGCTGCATGTTGGTCTGTCAAAATTGGTATCGTGTAATTAATGATGGTAGAGCAGAACCATGGAAATTGATGTGTCGTCGTAAGATACCTAAAGAGCTACTGAAGTCTGAACTTTTATCACAACTCAGCAGCTATAAAGCTAAGTTACGAGCCTTATATCATTCATGGAATCCAGACGATTGTTCCATGCATATTGTCGTCAAACAAAATGGTTTTACATTGCATCGTAATCCAGTTGCCCAGAGTACAGATATGGCACGAACTAAAATTGGTTATAGCAATGGTAAACATGCATGGGAAATTACATGGACTGGACCATTAGGTAAAAGTACATTCAATTTATGAAACACTAAATTAGAAGTCATTAAAAATATCAACTATTTTGTTTATAGGTACAGTTGCAATGGTTGGTGTGTCAACTAAAGAGGCGCCAGTGCACTGTAGCGGTTACTTACCTCTGTTGGGTATTGACAAGCATAGTTGGGGTTGGAATTTAATTGATAATGTTTTGTTGCATAATGGAGTATCGCATGGAAGCTACCCATTGTTAAACAATGCTCCTAAGTATCAAATAGGTGAAAAATTACAATTAATACTAGATTCTGAAAATGGTACTTTGCACTTTGAAAAATGTAATGAATTTTTAGGTATAGCTTTTAAAAATTTACCTAATACTAAACTATATCCTTCGGTATCAGCTGTCTATGGTAACACAGAAATATCAGTAGTATATATTGGTAAACCTTTATGTGGTTAAATAACCATTATTTTTTTTTGGTAAGAATTCAATCTCATAGAATATAATGTACTATTTAGTATAAAGTTAAAATTCCTTTCTTAATGTTTTTTTCTTATTGATTCAATAATATTAATATTATTTCTATCAGTTAACAATATTTGGTATATACAACAAAAATCTTGAAAATAATGTATTTAAAAAATATTTAGTCTTAAAATTCTTGATTTTTGGTATGGTAGTAGTATTTATATACTAAAATATTTATACTATTTTCAGAATTGTATTAAATAATATTACAAAAAAGTAATACATCAATTAAAATTTATAATTAAAAACATAATAAACAAATACCCTTTTATATATTTTTTGCTTAAATAATAAACTTATACTTCATATACCAGAGATGGCAAACCTTTTTCGAATAATATATTAAAATTTTAAAATCAGTTTAAAACAATTACATTTGTCAATAAAGTTTTTGTACCGTTTAGAATATGTTAAAAATACTAAAATACTTTTTAGATGACTTATAGAGTATATATGAAAATAATCAAACAAAGTATTTATGACCATTTTTATTACCTTTTCTCACTATTAAACTTCACCACTCTTATACCATGTTTTTATTTCATTGTTATTATTAATATTGATTTTTTTTTAATACCAGTATGTGTTTTATTATCTATCAGTGTTTTCTTTTAATTTTTTTAGCTAGTAAGTATAATATATTCTAATTATTTCAATCAAAATTATTAATGAATTTACTAAACGAGGATCATATTAATAAACTATTTTTTTAGCAAATTATCATTGATAATTTTACTATTAAAATCTTTAGAAAAAAAATATAAGAAAAGATACACTTTGTATAGTCTGTAAATAAGTTCCAATAATAATTAGTTGCTATAGTGCTAAGAAATTAAAGAGAATATTTTGAATTACTACTTTTTAATCAAATATTAGAGTTAATAATGAAGTTAACAAAATAAAAGAATTTACCATATAGGTTTGCCACCTCTACCATAAACTAATTTTTTTATTGTATTTTTTATTGATTTTATTTTAAGGCTGGTAACTAAGGCCATTAGCTATGGATAGAAGCAGTACGTTTTTTTTGTGTGTAAAGTTTGGTTACTAGGGTTGGAACACGTGTGTGTATGTGTGTCCGCCATAAATTCATCACTTAGAACTCAAGTATTCACCTATCAGAGAGCTAACGATACTGGCGGATGTTTGACTTCAGAACACATTAGTGACTGAGGCCAACCACTGCACCATACCAGGCCACAAACTATATTATTTTTGATAGTTGAAATTAGATATTTTATTGCTAGTATTTACACTAACAAAAAATACTAAATTTTCATGCAAAAAATTAATACTTAATATACTACAATTAAATTATAGATACTTTGGATAATTTTGTCTAAAAGCTATCAAAGTATCTTGAGGATTAATAATTATTTTTTGTTCTACTTGATAGCTTTTAGCTTTTACATACATTAATCAACTCTAAACTTTATCTTTTTAATAATAACAATACAAATTATTTTAGATTAATAATGATTAATAAAATTAATTAGTTAAATTACATAAGAATTATATATATATACATGTAGTCATGTAGATAATATTATGTTATAATATTTTATAATAAGTAACATCTTTATTATATAATATACCATTATACCATTCCTAGTATTTCTTATATAAAATAGGCAATTATCTAATTTATTTGTTTTTGATTTGATTTGATTTTTCTTAATTCCATTTTTTGTTGAATACTAGTTAAGTTTTGTCCTATTATTTTTGTTATTTTAAACTAATTAAAAAATTATTATAATATGTTTAAATATGTTTTAAAAAAAATTTCTTCTTAATATTTTATAACAATTCATATTGTTCTATTTTTTTTTTTTTTTTTTTTATAGTACAATGAATTTTAAATGAATGTGTACGTACTGTAATAAATACTTACAAATTTATGATATTTTCATTAGTTTTATAATAATTTTACATAATAATAAATATTTTTAAAACTAAAATAGATTGAAAATTATATCTAATATAGTAATATAAAATGAATACTGTAAAAAATTATAAATAAATAATAAATGTTGATCCAAAATAGTAAAATTAATTTCTATAGTCGCAATTTGGGTGTGGTGCTTGGGGGTTCTTATTACTCTCAAATTTTATATTAGCAGTTAGCACAATAGCACCCCCAAATTTTTAATAACATTATCAAATTTTTATTGGTTATAAATTATGAACTATGATATTATATCATAGGCATTAGGATAGATTTGATTCTAGGACTTTTCATCGATTCATCGTCATAATAATAATAATAAAACATACCGATCACTGATCAGAATAATATGGAAAATATTATTGTCAATTTATTGTTTATATTATGAATTATGATTAATTAATTATTATGTATTAATTACACAAGAAGATTTTATAAAACGATTATCGGTAAGTCAATAACGATTACGCCGAAACGCCTTCCTACTATTTGGTAAATGGAAAATAATTATTAATATTGAGAGATATCTAAGCACTAAAATTGATAATGATAAAATAATAAATATTTTTAAAATGTTCCAAGACGTATATTATCTATGATATAATAATTAAATAAAAATAAAAAATGTAATTACTTATAAGTTTATTTAAAATTTGTGTTTTATTTTCTTTATTAATATTTTCTTTTATTATAAATTATTTATAAATAATAAAGTAGCGTAACGGAAATGTATGAATGATGCAAATTGATGCTGTAGGAAAGTGGTTTGGTCGGTTTGGAGGAAAAGTCATCCACAGATCATTTTGGTCAACATAATTTAACACCCCCGCAAATTTAATCTAAATTGTGCCTATGTTGATTTCTAGAAATATTTTACTGCATCAGATACTATAATCAGTAATTATTTAGACTGGAGTCAATTAATTATTGTACCTACTCACAATCACAAAGTATATTTGTGTTGAGGGTTGCATTATCTTTATTCAGGGGTGGATTGGCCAATAGGGAAATTGGGAATCTTTCCTGATGGGCCAGTTCTTATAAGGGTCGTTATCCAAAAAAAATATTATATTTTTATATAATAAGAAGCGTAAAACATAAAACAATTAAATATGAAAGTGTTATTTTGGTACTTATTGGTACATTCGTACTATTACTGGCTGAAAGAGTTAGTACATACCTACAATAAACGACAAATTCCTTTATTTTATCCTTTAAATATACTTTTTACGATGATAATAATTTCAATAATGTGAATATATATAATAATAAATTGATAATATTAACACAAATTCATAATATAATAATTAATATGTAATAACTAATAGTTAGCCACAAACTAAGATAAAGATAAGATCTATAATAGAATTCAGTCAGTTGCATGTACAGCTATAAATAATATATTAATATCTGGTGGTAATTTTTTGTATGTATTTTGATTTTAAAATTTTTACATTTATGAGTTACCGAGTCAGTTGTATTTAGTGTAAAAATTAAATTTAAAATAATAAGCTGGAATCATTCATTGACAAAAATGAAGTAGAGTTAAACATTACTACTGAAACAAAGTTACTGAAACTGAGATTAAGAAAAAAAAGAAGCGTTTGAAGAATTATCAAAAGATGACCTGATGGCTAATCCATTAAAAAAAAATTACTGTAGAAATACATAATAACGTGATGGATAAAGTAGTAAAAAACATGGAAAGAAGGTTCATAAAAAAATAATCAAATATGCTTGGACTTATGTTTAGTAACCTATATGTTTGTTACTAATTCATATAGATGACTTTGAAAATCTGTTGCCAGTCTTACGATCTTTATTAACATTCAAAAAATTAAAACTACCCAACAAACTACTAATCTACAAACTTCTCATAAGACCCATCTGGACATATGGTATTCAGCTCTGGAATGCAGCAAATATATCAAACATTAACCGTATTCAAAGATTCCAAATAAAAATTCTTCGTTTCAAAAGCTCTATTCTAACTTTAATACCAACTATAACCGAACTAGTCAAACTATGTTATAAGCGTTTCAACAGCCGATTAACTCAACACCCAAACTCTCATAAATCAACTCTCATTCATAACAATTCCAGACAATCCTCAAAAAAGGTTAAAAAGACAGTGGTTTCGTGACCTGCTAAAATAAATTTAAAAAAAAAATGTATAAAAAAAAAAGTACCTAAGTCTATAACAGTTCCAACAGACAACTATGATGGCTTTCACTCATGTGACCACATTTAAAAAAATAAAAAACAGAACAAAAGAATAATCATAATATTTTAAATTAATATTAATTATTATATATTATATATATATATTTTTGATTTTTAATTGTGGAAAAATATAATTTTTAAATTATTAAAAATTTAAATTTAAACATATAAAAACATTATTTTGAAAAACATAAAATAACATGGTTAAATTAAATTAATACTTTTTAAAATTTCCTTTAATTACGTATTTTATTATTTTACATAAAAAAAAAAAAAATGTAAATTTTAGAAACGTACTGGAATCATTGACCTCATTATTTTATATGTTATTAATTAATTGTCAGCTGTAGATTTGAAATAGTATTTCGGCGGGTGGTATGACATGTACATAATTGAATTTCATTATCGGATGTTATATTTTCGATAATGAGAGAGTGGTGTAATTATGTATTCTCATAGTCATTACCTGTGAACTGTTAGTCGATGATTATTGCAAATGTCAATCGAAAGTTTCGTATAGGCCGCCTCAAATATCGGTTATACTTATAAATAAATGTCGTATATTATTATTATTTATTTTATTTTTAATATACAAAACTGGCTAATAAGTAATAACAAACAAAATCTAATAACCACACTTGGTTACATTTAAGGCGAAACAAATATTTAAAAACATTACCATTGTATAATTCGTTTTTCGAAATTATGTTTTGTTCCAAGTAAATGAATTCTTGTATAATCGACGTAAGTACCTATATAATATTATAATGTTTTTCCAGTAATTTATAACTGAAAATAATATTGTTACGTATTTTTTTTTTAGATCGAACATAGACATGGGTGGGAGGGGAGGGGCTGGGTCGAGCATACCCGG